TTAGAAGGGTTCTCCTTTTGAAGACAAAATTCAGGGAGATTGAAATCACCAAATATGATACTAGGTTTATCGCGATGATATCAAATCTTACTGAGAATTTTGTCTTCAAAAGGAGAACTTGCTTTGAATCTTCTATGTTATCATGTTTGAAAGAGTTGGTTGAAACCCATAACCTCACGCAGCATGTAAAAGAATTCACCAGAAGCGGTAGTATATTGGATTTTGTTTTCTCTAACGTTTCACACCTGGTAAAACGTCCTAATGGTGTCTCCACCTGTTGGTTTAAGTGACCATAACGCTATCAAATTTGAAATAATGTGCAAACTGTCCTATCCCGTGTACGTTTATAAACGTAGGTACTCTAGATGTAATTTTGAACAACTTCGTTCCAGCCTAGCTAGATACATTGGGTCCCTTTGCTTGAAACCAAAAGCAATGTAAATGACAAGTACGAACTTTTCATATCCTACACAGTTCGATTGATTACTATGCCCCCTGGGAGAAAGTCCCTTGCTTCAAATCAGTTCAACTTCCTAGTCATCTGCAGAGAATGTGGGAGCACCGCGAATGTCTCTTTCATGAGGCTAGACGAACTAACAACTTTGACCGTTACAGAGCTTTCACTCAGAAATTTTGTACACGTCTCAAGAAATATAATGATTATTTGGAGAAGCAAAATTATTAGCTCTGGGAATGTTCCTGTCTTTCCATAGGTATTTAAGTAAAAGAATCAAGGAATCTAAGCGTATCGGTTGCTTAAGAAATGGTGAAATTATAGCGATTTCACCTATCGAGAAAGCTAACATATTAGCAGAACATTTTGAGAACGTTTTTCAAGAAGATGATGGAAATATCCCAAAATATGTTCATCCCATAACTGTTACAATGAGGGATTTTCCATGGTTCACAGCTTCTACACTGTACGATTTAATCTTAAAATGGCCTGGTTCATCTTCGCTTACTCCTGATTTCATACCATTCTTTGTTGTTCAAAAAGTGGCTGATGTTATTTGCGGTCCTCTAGCATACATATTCAATCAGTCACTCACATTTGGTGAGATACCCTCAAGATGGAAGCATTCTTTTGTCACACCGATACTGAAAAAGGAACCTTCATGGCACCCAGAAAACTACCGTCCTGTAAGCATCACATCTATCTTCTGTAGACTCTTTGAGAAGGTCCTTAAAAAAATCACATTAATCATCATTTACTGATAAATAATATTATTTCAAAGGCATCAGCACGGTTTTGTTCCAGGCCGTTCGGTTGAAACAAATATGATTGAATGCTTGAATGACTGGAAAACTCTAGATAATAAGCACCGTTGTGACGTCATTTACTTTGACTTCGCAAAAGGCGTTTGACAGAGTTTCACACAAAAAACTGATATATAAGCTAGAAATCCTTGGTTTTCACCCGGTCATGATTAAATGGATTTCCACTTACCTGAGTGGTAGAACGTTCCAAGTTAAACTCGATGGCTCATTTTCTGATGTTAAACATGTGAAAAGTGGGGTGCCTCAAGGAGGTGTATTATCACCAGTACTTTTTAATATTTTCACAGCCGAACTTCCTAATATGCTTCAGAAGCAGGCGTTACGGCAAAGGTTTATGCTGATGACCTGAAAATCTATAAGCCTATACTAAGCACTGCTGATTTTCATAGTATGCAGAGGGCAGTTGATATAACAGTTCGTTGGTCTGTGGAATGGCAACTACCCATGTCTCCACATAAAACGGTGTACATGCAGTTAGCTGTCGGCATTCCACCCTCAGTGAACTCATACACTGTTAATGGGATTCCCCTCTCTGCTGTACAGTCAGTCAGAGACCTAGGTTTTCACTACAACGATAAATTAGATTTCTCGGAACACATAAAAAGGAGGGTCCAAGCAGCCCATTTACGTACATTCCAAATTTTCAAGGGGTTAATTTTGGCTAATCAGAAAACATCTTCTATCATTGCTCTTCTATCATTGCAAAGCTTCAGCAATAACTCCAGCGGGACCACATATCAAGGAAAAAGAGAAGAGATAATAAAAGTCCGAAGTAAGCGGAAGTCGTCATCTACCAGACCCAACCAAAAGATCCAAACGGGAAGGGGGAGGTCGTACTTGTAGAGTACACATATGAGAACCAAATACTGTACCCCTTTCAGCCCTGGCGGTGGCAATTACCACCAGCAAATTTAACACGTTGACGACATCGCGTGTTTTGGCATTTTGCACCGCGTGGGACAGGAGCGATTTTGCGAGCGCGCCGTCCTCACCTTACTTCCGCTTATTTTTTGTTTGTTTAAAATGCACAACAACTTGAATATTACCGAATTATTTTGGCAAGGATGAAAGCATAAAGATGCAGTAGATTTTTGTTTAGAAGAACGCATAATGACCACGAAGAAGCAAAAAACATCACTTTCGCTGCGAATGAAGTTAAAAGCATTTATACCTAAGTTCTTCCATCAAATACAAATATCTTGAAACTCACAGAGTTTTGTATTAACTGCTTCTACAATCTTTCATATGAATGTTTACGACAGTGAAAGGAATACTAGGAAAGAATTGAAATGAAAGTTTTGTGCGTTCAGAAAATCTTTGCTAAATCAAGGGATATTTGACCACTCTGGCTGCCATGTGGTTTATAGTTATGCTAATGTATTATCTATAGAATGAATACAAAAAACTCGAGAAGAAGGAGCGCAAGCACAATAAAAATGAATGAATGGTATAGCTTTGTTGAACTGCACACGAGGTTGATACTGGCAGTTTATTGGCTTACGTTTCGGCGGGTTCGCCTTCTTCAAAAATGAATGTTTTGCTCTGGCGCGCATGTGTGTCAGAATGTCCGATGCGGTGCAAAATTTCTGACGCGCTTGCGCGTCAGCCTGTCGTCAGCATGTTACCGTCGTACTCAGCGTATTTCTGCTACCCACTGTAGAGCTTATTACAGAAAATTTCATTCTCTGTTTATTTTTAATTTCATTTTTGTTTCCTCTTATGCCTTGAACACGCCATTTTATTGTGTGTTGATGTTAGCATTGTAAGTATTTGTGTACGAGTGCAACAATGAATTAGCAAGCTGCTATGTAAGTGTCAATCATTTTAAAATACATGGCATATATTCATTCATTTATCAAAAACGTTAGATGTAGTGCTGTGCAAGATCGGCAAAATTTTTCGACATGGCTAATGGTAAGAAATGTGACTTTCGATAAGCTAAAATCTAAGAAGCTGTGTCAATTTTTAATGCTCCCTAATTTCTTGGTGTGTGGTCGAAAAGCTTCAAATTTCGTTACAGTGTTATTCATGTGTTTGCAAGCAAACAAAAAACAAGCAAACAATAGCAAGAAAAGACCTTCTTCCACGGAAAAAATTCAGGGCCGAAACGGAAAATTTGCCGAGACTGTGGACGAAGGCTCCATCAGTCAAAGGTGCGGCGGTGGGAAGAAGTGCCGCTGGCCCCCGGTGACCACATTCCACTGCGACTGTTCAGGCCTTCTTTCGATCCAAGCTAACCTCGGTGCTGCTATTCTCACAGCTGTTTGGAAGACCAAAGAAACTGATTTGAGCCCGAATAATACCCAGCGTTCTTCATGGCGAACGACGCACTGAATTTTCTCCGCGAATCTTAATAACATTTGAGCGTGCTGCTCATTCGAAGGAAGTCGTGTGTGCTCATCACTTTATGCATGATATCAATTTGACGATTTCGTTATACAAATTTACCAACATATGTGTGTTACGAAGGACTACAGCGATTGGTCTATTCAAGCAGGCAAAAGTTCATGAATCTTGTCCATATCTCGCCATCTGATCAAGATGTTTAGATCTATGTTCAACGGAGCGGAGGCAGCATTTGATAGAAGTCCGTGAATAAGCTGTTTCCGGTATCTTCTGCTGAGTAAAGCATCGCAAACCATTCATGCTAACCCATCCCTCTCAAAACTTCTGGTTGCCTCTTCGCACTACAATTCTAACATACTTCCCTTAAAGGCAAAAGTCAGGCTCGTGTTTGGGCATTATGGCGCCTGAAATTGAGTGTAGAGATGGGAGGTGGAACGACAGTGAAGAAAAAACGCAAAGAAACCGTCGACAAGACCGAAATCGAAACCCCTTCCCTTCTAGCAGTGAAGGAGGCTTGCTCGGGGGAGAGCCACGTCCAAACGAGTTTTCCGGATATGCCAGCCGTTCCATCGGTTGATACGGCAATCAACCTAGCTGATCTCACACGTTAGGCCAGCCACGCACCACATCCCGCGGTGGGCGGGACCAGCTGATGAACGAACCCATCGCTGTAAGTAGTAGGCCAGAGGCCTTGACGGCGCGCAATCTCGAGTCAGGAGTGTGGCATCACCCCTCTGAGCGCATTCCTGGAAATATTAGTGATGGAAAGGCCTTCTATGGTCACCTAATCCTGACTCGTGGCTTTAAGACTCACTTCACTACTTGGCTGAAAACCGCTGTCCACGCCGCTCCAAGACCCTTCATAAGCCTTCAGAATCATTACCTTGTGCGTTCAAGCACGGAAGTCGCCACATCTTGCGGAGAATAATGTATGGCGAGTTTCAGTCGTCTGCACAAGTAGACATAGTAGTTTAAACGTGGTTGAGCTACATTCGTCTCAGAAAAACTCATTTTAGGTTTAATTAAAGCTACAGCAAATTGCCAAGGCAAAACGGACAGTAATGAAGCAGATCGAATTTCAGCAAAATATTCTAGGAATTGTTACGAGAATAGTACGTACATACGGCCAAATGTCCACTGCAGCCAGAGGAGCTGTTAGTTGGAAATTATACAGGGGGTGCAAATAATGCCAATAAAAAAATGCATTTTGTCTCCAGACTCAAATGGATTTAATCACACTTTGCTCAGCTCAAAGCGTGTGCTCCCAACTTAGAATTGAAGAGCGCATTTCATTCATAAGAAAATCTTCATAGTGGCCATCTACGTGGACGGCATCAGAAAATTTGCCCCGGAAACATGGTGCTCTGGTCGAGCTCAATGGGGTTCTCGACTGATCGTGTACCGTTACGACGGGTTCCGAAGGGCGGGTTCCGAGGGGTTTGCATAGTTAGAGCTAATGTCCCTAGGAAACTATCCCACGTTGAATCGATCCAAGAAATTATGTAAGAGCTTCAGGCTGAAGCAGTTACTGTAGGCCTCCCTGAGCTCGACGACGGTGACAGATGACGTCATATTCTGAAGACGGTGAGGGTAGTGAAGGAGGGCCTGCGTGTACTTATAGAGGGAATATTTTGCTGAGGAACTTCCGTCAACGACGGCAATCTCTGCGAAGAAAAAAGGCCGAAGTGCGACCTGGGCAAAATGTTTTTTTTCTGCCTCCCATCGCTGTATGTATTAGTTTGGTCCATAAATCTTGCAACAAACTGGCTGAATTTTGATTTTAATATTTTCATTATCTTTTTGTTCCATTCATCCAGCATGCTACACACCATCAATATCTACAACCTATTGCCAACGCACTAGAGCTGTTCGATGCCTCTCTTGTAGAACTCCACTGAATTCTGATCGAAGAAAGATCAGATGTCGATTTTGACATCATCATGGTTAGGATGAGATTTCTTCTCTAGGAGGTGGTCTGGAGAGGGAAGCAGGTGGGCATCCTTTGGCACGAGGTCAGGGCTATAAGGTGGATACGAAGAACTCTCCGTCCGAGAGTCTCAAAATTTTCCTGAATTTTCTTAGCAAGAGGTGGTTCAACGGTGTCATAAAAAGCAAACTTTGCCTTGCTTTTCTTTCGTATTGAAAAGCGTTGCATTCGAGCTGTGGACGGTTGACTTCCGCGTTGACTGCGACATCTACACGTAGGGGTTTCCAGAGCTCAACTCCTCTCGTGTTCCACCAAAATCCGAGAAGGCCCTACTTGGACGAGGTTGAACTTAGCAGTAAGAACTCCCGAAGCGTTTGAGCTGGACTACCGCCGCTTGTTTATTTGTTAGCACACTGTACCCACTCCTCATCTTCGGCAAATGTGATGGATGGTCAATCGAAGAATCCATAGTAAGTCGACTTGAACATTGTCAGATCGTGTTTGGAGCTGAATCGGGCTCAAGGCATGTGGGATCCAAACTCTATATTTTCGGATCTTCACAAGTCTTTGGAGATGCCACAGTGCTGTCTCCTTGTCGCATCAGAATGCTCTAGCAATATACTAACCAGATCCTTTTTCAACAGCGTCAGATAGAGCATCGTGATTGCTAGTTACGGGGTGATTGGAGTGTGGATCATCTTCAAATAAAAATAAAAAAGTCAATGGCTAAGGCAGTTGGGTGTGATGCGCCGGTGCGTCGCGAATTGAGAGAACGTACCCTCGCCCATATTCCCACTTATCCTTGATCTCGCATGGCTTGCGGATTATTCCACGCAGTCCTCTACAATTCAGGGCAAGAAAATTCTTCTCTCGTGAAATCGGTGTAATATCCATAACAAGCAGCGAGACAACGAACTGGACGGTTGGTTGAAATTGCAAAAGTGGATGTTACGTCAACAAACATGTTGCAGAATCGCCGGAGCTCTCACAAAAATACTCTGGCATTAATTTAATTTATTGTGATAATGCTGTTTTACGCCCGAGTTTCGCGTGGACGAAGTTATATAATGAACTCTGGCATTAAATTAATTTATTGCATGACTTATGGACCAACCTAATATAAATAAACAAGTGCTCGTGTTTTCATGTTTTCATTTGTGTCTCATGCCAGTACTCATACATTACTGACATTGGGAATACTCCACCAAACTCCCCCTTGGTGTACGTACTTTCTGGAAACGCATCTATAAATAGATTCGATGAAGGAGCGCTGTTCGCACTCTTAGAACATTTCATATGCTCGTCCGTACAACTACATATTAGATTAGTATATTTTGTGGCGAAAAAGAGAAGAACATCAGTTTTTCTTGTTCGATAACAAAAATGTGTCCTTTAACTCCAACATAGGAAGCTGGGTGAAGGATGGTGAAGCAAATTAACTGAAGTCAAAGAAACCTCCTACAAACGCATCTGGAGCGAAGCATTCCACATCTAAAGTGGCTGAGTGTTTTACAATATCGACAATCACAACTGTAAGTAGTGTAACTAGGTATGTATGTTTTAGTGAAAGCATGCTGCTCATGCGTAGCTTCACCGTATTCAAGTGAAACTCATCTTGCCTAACCCTTAGACTGCGACTTGTTAATAGAGAAATCAATGTGTTTTGCGTTGTGACTATCACTTTCGAGTAAAGTAAAAATCGGTCGAGGAAACTGCAAGGGCTCGTCGAGGATTTTTGCTCATTCAGTCACGCTCTCCCGCGCGGACATTCACTCTCGCCACCGCGAGCCGTCTGTGCTCTCCGCGCGTACATTCACTCTCGACACTACTCTCGCACAGTAGAGAGCATGGTCGAGGAATTCCTCGACCGTTATTCGCCCTGCTTTTGGCAGCGACCGTTCATATTTAGACACGTGTCTGAAGTACGTAAATTTAACCGTAGACCATACGCGAGGTGGCGGTCCCTCTCGTCATCAGCCTATCTCCGCCCGAATAGAAGATTTCGAAATAACTACTATCCGTTTGACTTGACAAATACACATTTTACAATACTACAAGCACAAACATCAAGAGTATTCGAAAATTTTGAGAATTACATGAATTACATACACTGACCAGTGACATGAGCTAGGACTTGCTTTGACAACCTCTACAGGATGATTCCCTACGAAGTTTGGCAACTAGTTCCCAAAGAAGAGGTTATGAACTTTCATTGTGCCCGATTCGGTCTCGAAACGGGTGCCAGTATCTCAAGAAGTTTCGAAACTTAGTAATACCCTTTGACTACGCGTGGTATACATGCATACCAACAGTAGTCGAAGTTTAACTCATCAGGGTACCTCGCTGTAATTGTGGATTTTCGTCGTCAGAGTAAGAATTGTAAATTTTCTTTGTGCACAATTCCGCCTCGAAGCACCCCCACTCCTGTCTCAGTGAGCCAAACCTGTGGAAGTGCCTTCTACTGAAGAAGTGGCACACATGTGTAGCATCAGTAGGCAAAGAGTTAAGCCAGTAAATGGGTATCATTTCAACGGTCTTTAGTCTTTACAAACCGAAGTCTATCGTGACAGTTTGCGATCTTGAGATTGAAGGTTTGGTGCTGCAGGCGGTCTGACGGTAACGTTATTCTAAACTTCGGTTTTCGCGCCCAATATAGGGTATGAACTCCACTTGGAAATCGACAAAATCAGCTCATCGTCCTGTTCTGCCCAAATTCGCTGCATTTGTTCTTTGACTCGATGATTATTTCTATACAAATACACACTATCGCTGAATCACTGCATCGAATGAATCACTACGATATATCAAAAGCACAATATCTTATAGAAATATCTATAAGATATATCTTATAGAAATATCTATAAGATATCTTAAAGAAATATCTATAAGATATATGAACTCCTTTCGAATAAGGCCGGCCAACTGAGCAGGTGAATATACAGTTGTATTCGCTTTGAAGCCAAGTACGTTTCAGTGAGAGCACGAAACAGCAACGTCGAAACACTGAGCTCCCCTTCACTCCAACAAACCTGAGTTGTTTTTGTTTAATTAAAGCCACGAGTCAGGATTAGGTGACCATAGAAGGCCTTTCCATCACTAATATTTCCAGGAATGCGCTCAGAGGGGTGATGCCACACTCCTGACTCGAGATTGCGCGCCGTCAAGGCCTCTGGCCTACTACTTACAGCGATGGGTTCGTTTCATCAGCTGGTCCCGCCCACCGCGGGATGTGGTGCGTGGCTGGCCTAACGTGTGAGATCAGCTAGGTTGATTGCCGTATCAACCGATGGAACGGCTGGCATATCCGGAAAACTCGTTTGGACGTGGCTCTCCCCCGAGCAAGCCTCCTTCACTGCTAGAAGGGAAGGGGTTTCGATTTCGGTCTTGTCGACGGTTTCTTTGCGTTTTTTCTTCACTGTCGTTCCACCTCCCATCTCTACACTCAATTTCAGGCGCCATAATGCCCAAACACGAGCCTGACTTTTGCCTTTAAGTGCTGAAAGATCACGCATATGTAAAAATTTTAGACATAGTTCCTGTTGTTATTAACATCACGAGCAGCTGCAACGTATGTCCCCCTTCGAACAATAGACTCCTCAACAATCTGCTTTCATTATCTGCTAAACTCTCCTAAAGGACCCATGGAGGAGTTCCGTTGCTGTCATAAGTGTTGTGTCTATCTGTCATAAGATAAAGGCGCCCTTTGAGAAAAACAGAACCAGGCTTGAGGTTACCACTCCCCAGACAGCGATTCTAGGGCTGACTAATCATGGACGACGACCGACAGGGGTGGATAGGGTATAAGTGGAGACAATGTCTTGTTGGTACTACGATGATGTATACAGGCATGTTAAAGGAAGCGATTACGATAGATTTCACAGGGGTTTGGAGGGGACGTGAGGGTCTCAATAGTACGCCAATGGCGAAAAAAGCAAAGAAATCCGTCAAAAATAAGCAAAATAGTACCCCTTTGATTGCCCTTTCATTTTCGACCATGGATGAGCGACGGTAAAGAACGACG